TTAGTGACAATCCCTTGGTGATGACAGCTGGCTGTGCTCTCCCTCTGATCCACAGTGTAGTCTGATGGCAGATGAGCTGGACAGGAGAATGATTCGACACAGAGGGGAAACCACAAGATGCAGAATGAAGTACAAAACCATTTTCCCCCCAAAGGTAGAAAATCACATTTATCAATTCTACTCATACCTTAAACTTTTCAAAACAAAACTAAAAAATAGTTATTTACATCAACATAGAAGCACCTGAGTGACAGTTCAAGGTAACGGCATAATTCGTAACAATCTCCCAACTGTTTTGGTAAAACATCCCAACTTACCACTATTGGGATCATCTCTGCTACTGGGATCTTTTCACTTGAGGGCTACACCACATTTCCGCCTATTAGAACTTCAAAACTGAAGGGGACCCCTTACACCAAGTTCTCATTTAATAACCAATCCTCAGGCAACTATTTTGGGTACAAATGTCAATTAGTGGTTGAGCCAGGAAATCAAACTTCTCCGCCTGAGATGCCAAAACATCTCTTCTATGCAAAGCCCCGACACGCAGCGCCCTAGAATGACTTTTCTGCCAATCCTAGCAAATCAGACTGAAAGGGACCTGGTACCCAAATTCGGTCAAATTCCTTCTCTACGCCAAGTCTCATCTTACAGGGTGAGGAGGCTGTCTAGTCACATAGGCATAGAGGCTGGGGTGGCACCTTTCCTCCTGTCAACAATAAAGTAGAGCAGATTCACAGAGGGAAGCAGATGAAGAAAGTGTCATCACACATACACAAAGAACACAAGGGGATCTCATTAATGGGTGGGTTTTTATTTTTGTTCACTTTGCAGAGTGCACAGGTGTTACAGTGAGAGGGAAAGCTGAGAGAAATCATCAACTATTCACTATGTAAAATGACAAAGAAAAACACTGAACATTGAGTACTTACATTCAATGACACAGTGAACACATGATTAAGAAATGAACCCCAAGGTGACTCCTACAGTATTCACTGCTGCACTGAGTTGGGATGTAGGGTTTAAAGATACAGTACATATTTTTCATTCACTGTGGCCCCAAAAGCAAACCAACTATTTTATATAATAGCCAAACAAAAGCAAATCACTTTAATATACTGTAAGATATTGATTTTATAAATAATTTTAATGATGTGAATTTTATCTGGTCTATTATTTTAAGAACTAGCTCCCACTTAACAGTAACAGCTCCTTTGCAAATGCTTGAGATTTTTCTAGCTCACAATGGCCACAATAAAATTCTCCACCACCAACCCTCCCTTTAAAATTTGTTTGTTTATTTGGAAGAGAAAGAAAGATCTATCCATTGGTTCAATCCTTAATTAGCAGCAATAGCTGGAGTTTGGCCAGCCCAAAACCAGGACCATCCTGCTCTTCCGCAAAGGCAGCAGGAGCCCCTAATTTGGGACCTTGTTGGCTGCCTTTCCAGGTACATCAGCAGCGAGCTGGATCATTAGCAGAACGGCTAGGACTCGGCTACACTTCCATGTCAGCATCTCAAGCAGTGGCCTAATCTGAAGGGCCACATGTAGGCCCCTATGCTGAAGTTCTTACAACTGAACTCCAAGGAGCTACCAGGAACTTTCTCACGTACTCTCCCTTTTCTTAACTGGTGTCTGTTCTTTTTACTCAGATACTTAAGTGATCCTCCCAATTTTAATATACCCAGGATTTTTTTCATTTTTTAAAAGGATTTGTTTATTTAAAAAGCAGTTACATAGAAAGGGGCAGAGAGAGACTGATCTTCTGTCTGTTGATTCACAATGATCAAGCCAAAGCCAGGAACCTCACTGGGGTCTCCCACAAGAATGACGAAGTTTAAACACTTAGCCATCTTCTGCTGCTTTGTCCAGGCCACTGACAGGGAGCTGGACTGGCAATAAGGCAGCCGGACAAACCATCCCTTAGTGGTGGATTTATGGAACATGCCACAACGCTGGCCTCTAAGACTTCGATGGCTAACTGTACAGAACATCTAATGGTAACAGCACACTGCAGTTAGGGGCTTTACAATCAGGTAGATCTTTTGGAATCACAACTCACTGTTGAACAGTTTTGTGAATCTGGAGATGTCATTTAACACCTGAGAATCCCATTATTTGTAAAACAGAGGTAATATTATCTACCTTATGGTATTATGAAAATTAAATGGGATAATGTACATTAAAGTACTTAACACTGTGCCTGGTATTATAGTTGTAATAATTACTCATAGTAATTATTTGAGTTTCTGCTGAACCCAATGTCTCACAGCTTTCACATACTGGCTTCACCAACTACGCTTAATTTTTAAGTTATTTTTATAAAACGTATATTGTATGAGGGGGTGCAGGTATTTGGTGCAGCAGTTGAGTTGCCACTTGGGACCCTCATATCCCAGCGTCAGACTGGGTGGGATAGTCTCAACTCCACTTCCAATTCAATTTCCTGATAACATGCATTGTGGCAGGCAACAGATGTTAGCGCAAGCAGCTGCATCCCTCCACTTACACAGGAGACTGGGATTAAAACTCTAGGTTCTTGGCTTTGGCCTGGTTCAGCCCTGGCTTTTGCAGGCATTTCGAAAGTGAACCAGTAGATGCATTTTCCTTTTTGCTATGCATTTAAAATAAACATTTTCAAATACAGACAGGTAAACTAATGTTTGTTTAGCAAAGTCAGATTTATGTGAACCATAGGTTGCTTTTTTAGAATCACAAAATTAATTGAGAACTCCCACACCAGTTCCAGGAAGATACAATGATATCCTCAATGGTATTACATTAACTCAACAAATTTCATGGATCATACTTCTCTTCCTTCTCATATTCATTTCAAATAGTGGGGCAAATTAAAGTCAGAAGCGCTATAAAGGCTAATAAATCATACTCATAAAAATAACTTTTGGAAAATATCAAAATGTTAATATTATATCTATTAGGTAAATGTCATTTCCTGAATATTCATGTTTCAAGAATAATTAATACATATAGAATATATACATATATACATATAGATATTATATATTATATATATTCTATATTATATACATATCACCAAATAGAAGGGTCTGGCTTAGTAAAGTCTCTAATATGATCTCCAAGACATATATAAAAAGTTTTAATGCAGATTTCTGCTTTTTGAGAGTTGGAAAACTTAAACCCTATAGCAAACTTACATTGGTTACCAAGAATATACCTGATAAATTAAATCTTAAAATAATCCTCAGATTGCATTTTAGACCAAAAATTTAAAGCTCTTTGCTATTTTGTTGAAAGTATTAAAAAAAGGGACCCATGCAATGGCCTAACCGGTTAATCCTCCAACTCCAAGCACCAGCACCCTCTACTCCAGGCACTAGTTCAAGTCTCAGCTGCTCCAATTCCCATCCAGCTCCTTGCCTGTGTGTGGCCTGGGAAAACAGTGGAAAACGGCCCAAAGCCTTGGAAGCCTGCGTCCACGCAGGAGACCAGGAAGAGGCTCCTGGATCCTGGCTTGGGATCAGTTCAGCTCTGGCCATTGTGGACATTTGGGGAGGTGAACCAAAAGATCTTACTCTGTTTCTCCTTCTCTTTGTAAATCTGATTTTTCCAATAAAAACAAATAAATCTTAGGAAAAAAAAAAGGAGAGAAATGATTAAAAACTGGTTAACTTAATCTAAAAATGTAACCTCTAAACTTTGATTAAAGGGTATCAAGGGAAAAGGCACCAAACTGACAGCAAACAGACATTTCACAATCACAGAGCAATGAACAATTTTTAAGGACTCCTAAAAGATATTTCACTTAATTTTTACAGTTACGTTAAAAAAAAAAAAGAACCGTGATAACCTTCATTCCTATTTAATAGAAATGAAATTCAAAGTCATTAAACCACACATAAAATAAAATGAGGATTTAAAATGTCCTCACTTCTGATTTAAACCCTTTCCACTTCCTCACAATGCCTCTCATCTGAAACACTTAAAAATACATCAGTCTGAATAACAGTTATTTCAAATGGGAAGAAAAGAGTTAAAATGTAGTACAGTGGATATAACAAGACAATTATCAGTTATACTTTGTATTTCACAAGACATTTCAGTATACAAATCCTAGTCTTTTAAGAATCTCATCAGAGGATGCGTGAGAGGTTATAAGGAAATGGAAACAGAGGCACTTCATTTGCAAATTATCTGTGTGTTTGTGCAGCACTGTTTTTCTTAATGTCTGAGTCACAGTGCAAATTGAAACTTTCTTTGGAGAGGAAGATTCCTCTTTGCAGTTATGTCTTTGGGGCAGAGATCCACAACCCCTAGCCTATTTTATAAACAGAAAGATTCCCTTATATAGAAATAATTTCTAAGAACAAGTTAAACTTTGCAAGAGAAAACAGTGGTTTCATCTATGTGGCTAAATATACATCTTTACTTACATACACAATCTATAAAAGATCTCCTGTGTTCGGCAAAGGAAAAACGGCCAAGGGCAAAGATCTCCTTTGCGGTAAGAGGTTAACAAAGGAACAGGGGCAGCAGACAGGGGATACAAATCTGCAAGGGGGCGGGGGGGGGGGCGCTCAGGCATGGTTTGAATGAATAATATTTTCCCAAGTATAGTTTAATAGAGCATAAACACAGTATCCTGACCAGAATAAATAAAATCACAGATCCCAAAGGAATCTCAAGGGCAGAATTAATAAAATATCTTTTTCCTTAAAACTTTCTACCCTTCTCAAAGAAATTAATAATTTGCTGCCATGACAGAAACACAGGAACTGAGGGGTAAACAAAAAAATGTTCTCCCTAATATATTCCCCTAAACTCAGCATGCGGCATTTGCATCTGTATCATTTTCAAATTCTTACAGTAAAGCATTTCCCTTTATCGCTGGTCCATATTTGGTGCTAAAATTTAAAATACAGTATAGCAAGCTCTATCCATATCAACTGGTGTAGTTGATTTTTTTCTTTCATACATTTTCTGTGCAATGTTTAGTGTTACTTACACCTTAATATTTACCTGAACCTCTGAATTAGAGTCAACAGGCTGCAGTGAAAACCAAGTTTCTTTACCACTGTGGTTACACAAGTCTTCTTTTTTGATGGCTACCTTTCCTACGGGAAATGAAAATAAGTCAACAGTATAAGAAATTATATTCTGTATAATCCTAAATATCAGCAATAGTGTTATATATATACTTAATGAAAATATTTCAAGGTAACTTACATCTGTTCATTTAAAAACTCTCTTTAGGGCCCAGTGTGGTAGCCTAGTGGCTAAAGTCCCCCCCTTGCACGCCCAGCATCCCATATGGGTGCCAGTTCTAATCCCGCTGCTCCACTTTGCATCCAGCTCCCTGCTTGTTGGCAGGGAAAGCAATGCACGATGGGCCAAAGCTGTGGGACCCTGCACCTGTGCAGGAGACCCGGAAGAAGCACCTGGTTCCTGGCTTCAGATTGGCTCAGCACCAACCACTGCTGCTACTTAGGGAGTGAACCAACAGATGGACAATCTTCCTGTCTTTTCCTTTACCCTGTAAATCCAACTTTCCAATAAAAATAATTTTAAAAAATCTCTTTATAGTTTCTATATTCTAGACAGTTAAAGTGTATCATTCCCTTCTATCCTCCATAAGACCTTTCACTGAATCAATCAGTAATTTTTTGTACTTATTCACATTCCTGTTTTTCTTTCCTCAGAGTGCATTCTGTGCAAAAAGCAGTATTATAATGGCAGTGCAACCTATTTGCCCCAATTAACACTATCAATAAAATTACATATTCTGCTTAATTTTAAGCAGATGTATTTGCAGTTATTAAGTGTTTAAATTCCAATTAAGAAAAAAGGAAAATCACCAAAGATCACCAAAAAAGTAATATGCAGCATGATGAGAACATTTATTTTGTTTTTAAAAACCAGTTTTATCACAATGTCAAACACTGTGTTGCTTCAGTGAAAACAACAAATCAAGACAGCTCCCTGAACAGTTTCTACTTCTCAGCAAAGATACAGTACAATGAACAAAATAGTAAGAGAGGAAGCAACTGAAGTGTTATTATAATGCCCTGTTGTACACAGCATTTCCTTCCTCAATTCAAGATTTAAAAAGCAGACATAGCTTTGCATATGACAAATTATTCACTCAAAGATTCTACATAAAAGCTTTATCAAATTAAAAGTTCAATTTCTTCTACCCTGTGAACCAGCTGTTTTGGCCACTTGGGGAGTGAATCACTTGGGGAATGAATCAGTGGATGGAAGATCTGTCTTTCTATGACTCTGCCTTTCTAATAAAAAATTAATCTTTAGTAAAGCATATATAATATACTAAAATTTTTTAGATTTCAAAATTTGGAGATACTTTCAACCTTGGAGAAATGTTGCCAGAACAGTCCACCACACTCATACTCTTCACCTGGATCACGTAATCACAACATTATCACACTCTTCTTTTTCTATTATATAGGATTCTTTTCTGCACCACTGATGAATAAGTTGAGGATAAATTACATGGCATGTGAATTACATTTCAATAAACCCATCATTTAAAAAATTTAACCGAATTACAGTTTTTGGTAAATATTTTTCTATTCATGACTTAGAACTCAAACTATCAAGAACAATGAAATATGTGATTTTTAAGGAAAATACTAAAATACATAATCATGTTTTTACTCTACAGTGGCAACTATATTAATAACATAATCCAAGAAAACCAAATGAGAACCCATCAACTATACTATCAACACATAAAAATTAAAACATTTTGTAAAGTTTAAAACTCTGTCCTCATCTTAAGTATGAATTTTCCCAACGTTTTTCAAAATACTTTGAATGAAATCTAACGTGAAGATCAAAATATTCATGTGAATATACAGTATTTATAATTTATTCAAATCTTGTAGGAAATCACATTGGAAAAATAAGCTTCATAATACAAAACGATGGGAAAACAGAAACTCATCTAGTATTAAATATATAGATCAAATGCTAAGATTCAGGTATTGACTAGCAGACTCAAATATTCCTTCTGCTCATACAAATCTCTTAGAATGCTTTAACCATAGATTTAATCAAATTCTTGACTAATTAATTCAGTATCAGAAATAGTTTAGAATACAGAATTATGAAAAAGTAGTTAAGACTATATGCCACAAATCATACTGTTATGATTATCATAACTGTATCAAACAGTTCTTGTTATGATTTATTTCACACCCAATATAAACAAAATACTAAGGCAATGCATAATATCTTGCTCCTTAAAATAGGTGTGCATACACATAGATACAGCTGAGGCTCTGAACTTTTGGGAACCATTTCCACTAAGAGTCTCTGCAACTAATTTTTGTCTTCTCCATGAGGACAGGCATGGGTAACACTGGCATTTTAAAAGAGTTTATTTACTACCCAGGGACTCCATGTAAAGACCTCTATTTTGCAATTTCCATGGTTTTTAATGTTGGACATAATTTATGCATATGGAGGTATACATTTGTGTGATACAAGTATCACAAAAGTCCCCAAATTAAGGGTCTTTGAAAATATTTAGAACCTGATTGGTTTGATCAATTAATTCCTTTACTCATCAAATAATTACAATGGCACTGTAGTTTAAATAGCTTTCCCAAAAAAAGTCTAACCAACAGTATTTCTAAAAACTAGATTAAGAATCTACTTGTCCTGCTTATGCTTATGAGTCACAACTCAAACCACTGGAAGTACTTCTTCACAGGTACCTTCCCCAAAGAATCACATTAGCACCACAGTGAAATATTCCAGAAGAATCCCTTCCCTCCCATTCCATGTCTCACATACTGTCACACTCAATGTCACTACAGAGTTGAATGATTCTTGTCCTAGGAAAGCAAAACCCTTCTCTGACTTGCATGAAGAAACCATTTGTAAGTTGACAAGAACTTGTAATTTTATTGTCAGCTCTTTATTCTTTTAAGACCTATTTATCTGAAAGGCAATGAAACAGAAAGAAAGGGTGAGACAGAGAATGAAAGAGATCTTCCATCTGTGAGTTTACTCCCCAAATGGCCACAACAGCTAGGGGTGGTCAGGCCAAGGCGAGGAACCAGGAACTGCACTCAGGTCTCTTATATGGGTAATAGGGGCCCAGGTATATCATCTGCCGCCTTCCTATGTTCACCAGCAAGAATCCAGACTAGAAGTAGAGCAGCCAGGGCTTGAACAAGCACCCAAATGTGAATGTCAGCATCCAAACAGCAATCTAAGCTACAGCAGCACAAAACAGGTGTACAGGGCCTTTCCTTTCAAGAGTCAGTTGCTGGTATACGTAGATTGAGTTGGCATGATGCTAGCTGGCCTAAAGAAGCAGGGAAAAGCATATGATCTGAAGAATAGGAGAAAACAAAAAAATATATTGAGTCATTTGGTTTTAGGATAACTACAACAGGTCTAACATTTTCTTTGTCATTATAACATGAAAAAATAATAGATGTCACCATCCCTAGAAAATAAAACAGGGCAGAGATGGGGCCAGAGATGTCGAATACCTAGGGCAAGTTTCTGTCTATGGCTCTGGCATCCCATAATGGCGCTAATCCAAGTCCCAGCTGCTCCATTTCCCACCCAGTTCCTTGCTTATACCCTTGGAAAGCAATGAAGGACCACTCAAGTCCTTGGGACTCTGCACCCACTTGGGAAATCTGGAGGAAGTTCCTGGCTTTGGAGTAGCTCATTTTGATCTATCCTTAAACTGGTAGCCATTATTAAAAAAAAAAAAAAACAAATTGCAGTTCTTTGTGGCTAAATGGGCCCAACTGGAAACTATAATGCTAAGGGAAATGAGCGAATCCCAAAAGGTTAGATACCACGTTTGCCTTAATTTAACCAGTAATTTTATTTGTTTGTTGGTTTGTTTGTTTTTGAACCTGTCATTGATACTGTCTCAACCCATGTGTTGTGAAAAATTGAATTTGCATTACTTTTAACCTATTGTTTGCTCAATACTATGTCAATCAATTTCATAACATTGTAAATTGATGCTGATGTTTTGTAGGGGCTTTTAACTGACCAGGACTTTACTCTGTTAGCTCTACCTTCAGACCAGAGAAGGTCACCCCTAGAAACCACTGAACTTATCTGGACAATAAGATGCTGGACTCTATGCTAGGTATATGCTTACAATGAATGAATCCCAATTGAACTTCAACTGTGATTATGCAGCAAGGTGGAGGAATCCACCATGGGGGTAGGGTTGTGGGAGGGGTGAGGGGAATCCCAGTGCCTATAAAACTGTATCACATAATACAATGTTATTAACAACAACAAAAAAAACTGATAGCCATTAACTGTAAGATGTATGCGACCTGATACAGCAGGAAAAACAATGAACTGAAAGTAAAATAAGCATTTAATGAAAATAATATCAGGTGGTAGATACTACTATACATCATCATAACAACCTTGGAAATAAGCACATAATCACCATTTTACAAAGGGAAAAGCTTAACAATATTTAAAAACCTGCCCATCAGCCAGTACTGAAACCATATTTCACAATCAAAGAATGTCTTTTCATGTTCTTTACAACACAGATATTCATTCTGTAGACTAGTGTAATCTTGGGTCAATTATTGAACTTTGTACATCTGATTTTACTCTGACATATTAGAACTATTTTTTGGTTCTAATGATCTTAAAAATTAATTTAGTGGGGCTGTGTTGTGGCACAATTTAAGCCACTGCTTGCATGGCCAACATCACATACTGGAGTACCAGTTTAAGTCCTGGTTATTTCACTTCCAATCCAGTTCCCCATTAAGGTGCCTGAAATGGAATGGAAGATGGCTCAAGTAATTGGGCCCCTGGCACCCATAAGTGAGACAAGGACAGTTAATGGTTTCTGGCTTCATCCTGCTCCAGACCTAGCTGTTGCAGCTATCTGGAGAGTAAACCAGCTGATGGAAGATGTCTCCCTCTCTGTCACCCTGCCTTTCAAATAAATCTTTTTTTTTTTAAGATTTTTTTTTAAATTTTTTTTAAAATTTTTATTGGAAAGGCGGATACACAGAGAGGAGAGATAAGAGAGGAAGATCTTCCATCCGATGATTCATTCCCCAAGTGAGCTGCAACGGCCGAT